TTATTTTTCAGTGGCTATCAGAGTATTCCGTTTCTTGGATAAAAAAATAAAAAGTCTCAGAGCTTGTGATCCTGCAGAGGTAAGATGTGAACAGTTGGGAGAGGGCATGTTCTTTGTAATGGAGAAATTTTTTTTTACCGGAGAGCAAGAAGTTCAAAAACCTTGAGAAGTACTGAAAATAGTGCCTTCATTTCTTTTCAAAGTGGAAACACCCACTTGGCAGCAGTACTAGAAGCTGCCATTAGGAATTGCTTTTACATTTTACCACTCTAGTGAGTTTGCATTAAAAAATTAAGAACTCCATTGAAATTGTGGCAGTATACATTAAAATGAATTTTCCTTCACAGGAAACTCCCCTGAACTGGTCTGTTGAAACAACAGAGGAGACTTTGGTGCCTAACGACTTGCTGACTGCGTATATAGAAAAGTTGAATAGTGATCAGTCTGCTTATGCAGAGGAGTCAGCTATGTTCCTGTTCTTACTGAAAAACTTCATCAGTGGCCTAAAACCTCCTCTGTCCTTTTCAAAAGGTAGGTTTTAAGGCTTTGACTGTCTTTTATATCAGAGAAGTGAAGAAGGAAGCTTAATTTTTTTTGTCTTCAGAAATTGTTGGAAACAAGCCAGCCTTGCTTCCCCTAACCTTCCTTTGTTGTTAATGAGATCTGTTAAGGATTATTTACTTGTGAACATGAAATCAGCGAAATGTATTGTTTTCTTTTAACTAGAAATGTCAGTTTTCTCTTGGTTTCTGAACTTGTTCACATGCATCCACTGTGTCTCGTTTATAACCTGTATGTACTTTTTAGAGGAAACTTGGTGGAACCCTGAATCTCTGAATCAAGACAGCCAAGATTATCTGCATCTCCTTTTGGGGCTCTTTGACCTACTTGTCTGTGGAGCTAGCGAGGGAAGCGACGCTCTTCAGTACAGAGCACTGATGAACCTCTTACTCAAGGTATTACTTTTGCATTTGTTGCTCTGATTTATTAGTCAACAACTATTACGCAGTTAGACAATTTTAAGGAAAAGTGAGGAAAATGGAGAACTGATCATGTGGCACTGCTTGTGGCATACTAGTACTGTGAACAGATAAAAGTCTAAGCTCCAGCTTATTAGTTAACCCTAGTTAAACGTATTAATAGAAAACTAAAGTGAAAAAAACAGTAAATGGGCCAGTTGAGGCAAAGGTGAAAACATAACACTGATTTGCAGGACAAGGTCAAGAGCTTGAAGTTTGAACTAAAAGTTTTGGTCCTATCTGGGAGCAGAGTTGCTCTGTAAAATGTGTTAGATCTAAATACAAGAATCGAAAGGAAAACTTTTAGAAGACTTTGCGTATTTCCTTAGAACACCATTTCTCACCCACATCAAGTGATACATTTTTGTGAAGGGAATAAGGGATTTTGACAGTCTGGATTTTAGATGACAGAGAGTAATAACTCTACATTCTGAGGAAAAGAGAAGCAAGTAATTGACACAAAGGCACTGTTACTGGAATTTGATGCTATTTCATCAAGAAAGCACATCACAAACGCAAACAGAGGAAGAAAAGAACAGCAATGATTTATTTAATAACCAGACTTGTTTCTGACATTAATTCTTGTATATTACTTTGAGTAATTATCAGTCACTCCAAGTTATAGTGAAATTGTACTCATGAGCTGTTAAAAAGAGATTGATTCGGTGCCTGGCTAGTTAAAGACTGTCAACAGGGAAGGAAGGATGTTATTTTGGTGGGATTTTTGACTGAGCAAACTGGGTGATATTGCAGTGAAGAAGAGAAGAAGGTGGAAGGAGGAACTACAGAAAATTTGTGACATGGGATTAGTAATGTTCCAGGACCTAGTGGAGGCAAGAGCTGCAGTAATAATTTGCTCATTTCACTTATGGAGTACTGCTGATTTTGACGGCGTTTAATTTGAAAGGGACAAGAAAGTTATTTTTGCCCACCTTAGCACATTTAATATAACTAGAACTTAGATCTTGGTTGGCTTGTGGAAAAGAATAGGCAAGAGTATGTCAGAAGCTGTATCGGTTGTTCTGGTAAGCTGTGTTCAGTTTGCAGGGTGTTGAGTGGGCACTCCTGCCTGATGAACAAAGAGCTCTTAGGGTTGCAGAGAGCATCTTGCAGACAGGCAGCGTGCCAGCTCTCGCCAGACTGTGTAGTGAGCCAGAACTTTAAACTGATTTGGGATACTATTAGGAGACAATGTAACTGCGTCAAAATCAGAAGCTGGCCTCATTAAATTTTGACAGAAAGGTCCTAGAACAAAGTTGAGGTAATTGGATGTAGATGTGTGAAAAACTGAATTGAATCTTCTTGGAGCAGCTATTACTATTGAGGGAGGGGGGCAGGGAGGGAGAAGGCACTCTTACCTGTTTCTCACTCTGTAGTTCTCTTTTTGTGTCCTCTTTTGATTTGGGTAGTTTATCAGATGTTGTGAGTAGTAGTTTGCAAAGTAAATTGAAGATATTAAACAAGCGCTTTTCTATTTTTCTTTTTTTTGGTTAAATTTAAGGTACATCTAAAAGATTCAGAGATTCTCTTCAAATTCCTTTCAATTTTGTGGACTCACAGTTATAACCTTTCAAATCATCTGAACTATGAAGTCAGTGCAATGCTACAGACTCAAGCTTTATATATTGGTTATGCACTGCTTGAATCACAGACATACCAAAAAAAGAAACAGCTGCTATCACCATTATCTCCAGGTAAAGTAAAACAGTATCTGTCTGTCGTCTTAAGACTTAATCTCAGTATTTTTTAATTTTGTGTGATTTTACTATGTTTTATACCGTGAAGGATATCTATAGTCATTTATGTTCAACTGCAGTAGGCTGAGACAGTCTTTCTTGCTGATTCACTGCTGCAGTTACTAGTCCAAGCTTGGAAGTAGGTGAAATAACTTTTTTTTTTAATCTTTAAAGCGTTAAACAACATTCTCCTATGCTGAAGGAGTCAGTTACAGCACCTTTCTTTCTGTGCGGTGTGAGGATGTGCAAGTCAGTAGCAATGTAGGAGCTCTCTTGAGCTTAAGCACGAATATAAGGACTGTGGTGAAGATCAGTGCCATGGGTCTGTGAGACTCACGTTGGTTTTGTGTAGTCTAGAAGTTTATAGTGAAAAAAGATTTTTAATTCCAAAGTAATGCTGATGTCTCTTCAGAGACACATACAGTAAAATTCTGACCACTCATGTCTTTTCCTCCTTCCTTCCTTCCCTCTCTGTTTTTGCAGTGGTGATATCTTTGCTCATTAACTTGGGTAGTCCTGTGAGTGAAGTTCGAAGGGGTGCTCTCAACTGCCTCCATTCCTTGAGAGGCATAAAGGAGTCTGTATTTCATCCTGTTCTTCAGCATTTGGAGCAAAAGACAGAAGAGATCATATCTGACCCTACATACATAACACAGGTATTTCTGTTATTAAGATGTACATTAATACAAATTTTGTCTGCTGCTGCAAGCTCCCATCTTTTCCAGAAAAAAAAATCAAGTTAACCAGGATAGTTCATTGTCTTTCCTTACTATAGTATCAGACTAAAGAAATCAGACTGATTCAAGAAAAAAAAGATATTTAAAATACTATAAAAATATTCAAGTGATTTTACTACATACAGAGAATTGAGAATATCAGTCAAGTAAGAGGTATTAACTTGTGGTTTATTTACAGATGAAGAATTCTGTTTGTATCTAGGTTGCATTATTACAAAAGCATTAAATAAATACTGGTTTAAGGTATTTTTATTGCAGGGAAAGACTTTAATTTTAACTTTGTTAATTAATTAGGTTATGGAAGGTCTATTTGAGGAGCTTGAGACACAAACAAAACAGAAATCCCAGAAGAAAAAATTGTCGGAAGCTTTGGAAAGCATACTTGACTGTGTACAGAACCCTATTTTCCCATCATATATTGCAAGACACTTAATGAAAATTCTTCGTGAAGTCCATGGTGAGGTAAGTGCAGCCTTTCTAGCTGTTTTATGGGTTCTGTGCTTGATTGACATGCTGAAATCACATTTCATTTAGTAATAATGCTGTTAAATCAACTTCATAATGTATTAGACTATTAGGCATTGACACCTCTAATAAAATGCAGTAGCTCTGCAAAGTATGATTTAATGAAACATGAAGTATTTGCATGCTCCATCCAGGAATGTAAGGGCTGCAGAATTTTGCACTGGTGTTATTAAAGAAACTCCCTTGATGTTACTTAAAAAGACTGTTTCAGAAGAAGATTCTTCCAGAAAAATGTATTACCTTGGTTAGACGTCAGTGAGTATACAGTTTTCTGTACAGAATTGTAACATAACAGGTAGTACTATCAATTTCATTTGTATGTGTTAACATCATAACTAGTATATTCAGAATTCTCTAAGTGCTGGAAAATAATGAGTTCAGTGTTCAAAAAAAGAATGAAATTATGAATTTTTATGCTCTGGCCAGTTGTATGTTGTCTTGAACAGATTGTGAACTGCATAGAGGATGAGCATTCTTGCCCCACATTTGGGTTTTGTAGGAGGCAGCAGTCGTAAATCGCTGAAAAAAATTGTCTTGTTTCTGTACTTTTAAAAATATAAGAATAGCAAAGTAGAAGATGAGCACGTACTCCTCATAATCTGACAATAGGTTTGTATTTTTCCCCTTGAATAGCTGTTGCATAAGATACTCTATGCAGTTTGTTTCCAGAGAGGGGATGTTGCAGTAAAATTAAGCTGTGCTAGTAGAATTCTGTTGAAATGAGAATGGATAAAAATTCTCATATGAATCTCCTCTGTTTGCAGATGATTCTTTCTCACCTTTTGCCTGCCCTGGACCGCTTGCTAGAAAAGGTCTTTAAGAAACCTGAGGCAATGTTGAAAGATGAAGTTGTTCTCCTGCATCTCATCCTTGGACAGTTTAATGAATATTCAGCAACCCTCTTGTGCAAGAATGAGCAGAGTCTGGATTTATTTATCAAATGTCTGCATGCTGCCAAGAAAATCTATGAAGAAATTCCACCTTTTCAGATCACAGCACTTGGGCAGGTATAGCTTTCTGAAAAATCTTTAATTTATTTCTATGTTTAAAGCAATGATAAGTGTTCGGATTGGTTTTATGAAAGCTCTTCCTGTATTAAGGATTCCGTAGCTTTTGACCTGTCTTACTTTTAGTACAAATTTTCAAGGTCTCCATAGCGTCTTTGAAACATCTCAACAGGCTGCAAAACTTTTTCTGAAAATCACCTGAAGGAGAAATTGCTGCTTGCTTTATTATTGCATTTTGACAAGTACAGAATAGAAATATCATTGTATTAGTGTGCAGGTGAATACCTGTATCAGACACTATTCTAGACATTGTCCTAATTTTTGTCAGACAGGAGCTTTACTTCATGTTTTCCTTCTGAGGAAAAAGTGTCAGAAAAAATACAGTAGGTGAGAAATAGTCTTATTTGAAGGAGGCTACAAATTCAGGTCTTCTATTAGCCAGGTATTAGCATATACTTACCAAAGGCTGGCAACAACAAGTCTTTTCTCCCACCAGGCAAGCTGTGTGAGAAATGTCAGGAATCAGTATGTCCGATGGATATTTCAGAAGTATGTGCATAGTATCTAAGGATTCCTGGATATATATACAAAAAAACATAGTTAATATGCAAATTTTTACAATATATTTTCATACTAACATGCGTGTTAGTATGATTGGCTGTATCATTCGTAATCTAACCTAAGTTTCATTGCTTGTGATTTTGTTACCCTCTTACAGTAACCTGTCTGCATCCTTTCTTTTTTCCCTTTTGTAGATCACTAAGCCATTCTTTGCAGCCGTGTCAGATGGGATGGTGCAACAGAAGCTATTAAAAGTATTGTTTGACTTACTGCTAAACTGTAAGAACCCACTTTGTGCCCAGACAATTAGCAGTGTGTTTAAAGGGGTAAGTGGCAAACTCCAGAACACAGAAATATGTTCAGACCTGTTGTGGTGGTTCTGTGTTGTTTCAATCAGTAACACTTGTTTATATCATTCACAGCATGAAAGGAATCAGAAACTATTTGTCACATAATACAATTGTGTTAATGGAGTGAAAAGTTTGTTAAATGACTGCTTTTAGAAGGTATTTCTTTATAAGCCACGCACCACTCATTTACTATACTATGTGAATGAATTGAGCAGCTGTCACTTCTTTCTGCTGCACTGATTTTCATTTTTTGTAATCTGACTTGGATATGTGGATTATATACCCATATATGCATGAAAGGGGTGTGTTTTTTTAAAAAGGACGGGCATAGATATGCTGTATGACACGTTGTTCATTGGTACTTGCATTATTGTTCTCTTTTTCAGATTTCAGTGTGTGCTGAGCAGATTGTCAGAGAACTGGAGCCTCCTGAGAAAACCAAAGGTCTGGGCACTGTTCAGCAAACTAGAAGGCAGAAAATGCAGCAACAGAGGTAAACTAGCAAAAAACCCAAAAATACTATCTGTACAGTTTAAAAATGCCACTTGTTTTACTACATTACATAATTTGTATTGAAAGCATAAGCATCTGTTTCTTCTTTTCCTCTGCACAGTAAAATAACTCGGATACTTTCGGCAGGAGAAAACCAACTCATGTCATTCTTAGAGAGCTGATGGAATGATAGTCAATATTAAAAAAAAAACAATCCAGTAGTTCTAATGTTGACATTTGCTCTTCTAGAAGCTGGTTGACATGGTTGAACAAGGTGGTGTTTTGTGGGTATTAAACTTAGTAATAAAGAGGTATGGACAAATTGCACACACATGTCTGAAGCCAACAGATGCTCATCAAAATGTTCCTGTTAGTTGACTGAAAAGCAGTATTTTCTTTCAGTTAAAATGTTAACATAATCGTTAATTTTTAGAGCTCTTTGTCTTGTTTGTTCTCTCCATTCTCATGAGGAAGGAGTTGTTTTTCCCACTGTACTTATTCTCTTCTTTAAGCGTGTCAGCCATTTCTGAAACAGGATATTCAGTTGGTTTTCTTGGTTTGACTTAGAATAGCTGTCCTTATTTTCCTTCTCTTGACCTTGTTTAACAATCATCACCCATTAGATTGATCCATCTGTAAACTGTGTCTGCCAGAGTTTATAAACACACAGGCTTGCGCAGACCCCCATTGCCTGCATAGTCAGTGGTTAGACAGCTGGTAGTTCCAAAAGTGCAAGCGCATCAGCATTTTGGGCAGTTATTTGGTAATAGATTTATTTTATTTTTTTCCCCCAGAAATATGCATTATTGTTTAGAATTTTTGTATACACAGAAGGCATGCTATACTTGTTTGGTTTTTTCAAGTTTGGTCTGGATTTTCTGTTGATTGTTTAAAATGTGCTGCTGCTTCAATGGCAAGCCCACACATCATCACCTCTCTCAGGAGAAGCAATAAAAGATATTCCTCTGTGAAAGAAAGCTTGTCTTTCTTAACTTAAGTGTGTGTTTTTTCTCCAAAATACTGTACTATTTTCTTTGCAGACGAAACACTGTATTATTTTTCTTTGCAGATGTACATCCTGATTGTTTGTCTTATCTTTTTAGAAAGCCTCAAGATGCAGAATTGGCACCAGAAACAATCCATTTCAGCTGGCAGAGGGTTATGCTTATTCTGGAGTTACTGCAGCATAAGAAGAAGCTTAGACGTCCACAGGCGTTGGTGCCCACGCTCTTTAACCTGCTGAGCCGGTAATGGTGCCTCCCTGACACACCAGGCCTTGGGCATTCTCTTCTCAGCAGATGCGTTAAAATGGGGCCTGCAAACATGGATGTGTTGCCATGTTTTGTAACTTAGCTTGCCTTTTTTACTTGCACATTTTTAGGTAAATTGGATGAGGGGAATGGGAAGTTGTTACAACTTTTTTGCCCTATGAACAATGTGAAGGGGTTTTTAAGATTTTTACCTGATGCTGACCTTGGTTGTTACAGCGATAAGTCTAAGCAAGGGCCTTTCTGCACACCGTTCCTTGGCGTGTAGCACCAACATTGGTCTTACCGTTCTGAGAACGAGCAGTTCTCTCCACAATACGCTGTTAATTTCAGAGTGTTAGAAGAAGCCTAGCTAAGATGTAAAATTACAGAACAGAAAGTTGGTTCTGTTTTACTTCAAACTGGGACAACTCTAAGCTTTAAAATTCCTCCCAAAACATCATGGAACAGCCTTCATCCCGTGCAACCTAAGAAAACTCACTTTCCCTGCCAGCCCTGTCTCCAGGCACTTAGGAAAGTTTACATATAGGTTGGGTATTTATTATTTTTCCTTATGATGTGCCTTTATACAGACTGGCAATCATGAATGTCTTTTATTATACCAGTTGATGCATTTGAAAACAAAAAAGAAGAAACACTTTTTGGCAAACACTTTTTAGAAGTCTCAATTTAGAACTTTGGTAGAATGAAGATTGCAGTTTCTTATTTGTATCTTAATATGCGGTTTGGTCACTTATTTTTCTGTCTCTGTATAGTTGTCTTGAACCTATGGCATCAGAAGAAGAAAATATGGAATATACAAAGCAGCTAATCCTCAGCTGCCTGCTAAACATCTGTCAGAAATTGTCTTCGGATGGTAGCAAGATCCCAGCAGGTAAGAATTGCCAGACCCGTTTCTTGGTAGTTCTCTCACCAGCACAGCATTAAAGCAATAGCCTCTAACTTTTTTCTTCTCTGAGTCTACACTGTATCGTTAAGGAGAAACAGACTTCTTTATCAGGGATACCAGTTTGCCACCTTAATAATTTTTTTTGTAGATTCCTTAGATATGGTCTGTAGATTGAAACCAGTGCTTGAGTGCACCGTTTTTATTCCCACATCATTGGCTATTATAGTGTTAATCAGTGATTATTTTTTACTTGCAGATATCCTTGACAAAGAAAAATTCAACGTGGAAGTGATAGTTCAGTGCATCAGGATATCTAAAATGCCCCAGACACACCACCATGCACTGCTGCTCCTCGGTGCTGTTGCTGGCATGTTCCCTGTAAGTAGTACCTGAAATTTCTGTGTTGGCTGTTCTGTTCAGGTTCCAAATATTGGGTAGAGTGAAGAACACATAGAGCTGTCTATGGGGAGAAATTTTCTGAAAGAACAAGAGACAAAATTTACTAATTCCCTGGTATTTTTAGGGCTTTCTGTTCCATTGATGGCTCGCAATGAAACCCATTAGAAATGGAAGAAGCTTTCCGACAGCGGCCCTAACTCTTGAACTAGGTGACAAGAGTTAACCAGCCCTCTTAAAATTAATTAATGTGATTACAGTCTCACCCCCCAAAAAAAGCCAAATGACCGTGATTGCTTTCCATTGTATGCCTAGATATTGCGGATGTTTTACAAATATAAAGGGGAGTTGGACTACATGATCTGTATGGTCCCTTCCAACTCTAAAAAAATTCAGTGAAATAAAAAGGGTGAGTGGGCAAGGTGCTGAAAATGACTAGCATCTTTGTGCTACACTCATAATGCTGCTTCTGCACATCTCCCCATAACTATCTTTGCTGGTCAATCTACCATGGCACTGAGCTGAAAAGTACAAGGTGTTACATCAGACAGAACTCTCAATTTCCACTCTTTAATTACTTGCTTAGAAGGGTGTCTTGGTTTCTCCAACAATCGCATAGTAAGTAGCTTTAAGGGACACTATACATTTAAAAATAGTGGAGATTTTGCTAGATGCTGATGATTCTTATTTTCATTTGTACGAATCTAGAGGCATTTGCAGGAAGGAGAAATGCCTTAAGGTATAATATAACCAACACAGTTCAAAAAGCAAACTAATCTCATTGTCTTCTTTTCCAGGATAAAGTTCTCCACAACATTATGCCCATTTTCACATTCATGGGAGCAAATGTCTTGCGTCTGGATGATACTTACACGTTCCAAGTAATAAATAAGACAGTGCAGATGGTTATTCCTGCTCTTATACAGGTAAATTTGTCTACTTCATGGAAAGGAGTAGAAAAAAGTAAACCATAAGATAATTAATTGAGTAAATGGTTTAGAATATCAGTGGTAGAATGAGTAGTAGGCTATCCTAGGGTTATTTCTAGATAGATATTAAATTATATATAACAACTGTATTAACAGACTGCTCCTCATCTGACCACCTCTGAGTCCATCGAACTGCTTCTTCTTTTTAATCTTAAAAGCTTTAAAATGGTTTAGCCAGAACATTATCACAACTTTACCCACAGAGGACCTGAAACATACTTTAAGTTCCTCATCATAAAAATAGCAGGGAAGTTCAGAAGAGAAACCACTGGAAATAAGAAGAAAGCTATTAGTCCTATAATAATATGTCATGGTGATATCAGTAGCAGACATGGTTTGAAGGAAGTGGAAAGGTAAAATATTTGAGAATGGGTTTTATTTTTCCAGCTGGTGTTTGCGTGGGTTTTCTTGGTTTTGTCTGGACATCTTCAATAACTGGTTATAAACCAAAACAAAAACACATAATTGTTTTTCAAAGGGGACATTTTTTCTTCAGTCAGATTTCACTTGCATATAATAAATCTTAATTCAAGATTCAAACATGAAAAATGCCATGTACATTTCCTACATAAAAAGGAATTGGAAAAAAAAATTGTTCTTCCAACAATGGGCTGGGCATTTCCTGGTGTATTTTTCAATGATATGTATACTCATTCTGCATCCTCTTGCAGATCTGTTAGAGAAACCAAGTTGCTGTCTCTTATTTTTTTTTTTTTATATATAAAACTGTTCATAGCAGCCATCACAAGTTTCTGTGACGAACTATTTGTGACACACGCAATGATTACATGTGGGGAGAGCCTAATGTTAATTACCTGAGATCATGTAGCCAACTTCTATCATTTTTGCTAGGCCCTTCAATCTGAGACCCTCACTATCAGGTTTATGAGCAAAGTTTTCAGACGGATGTGGCATTGCTTTCCCTTGCAAATGTCCTACTTGTTTCAGCTGATGCCAACTAACTTTTGGGTTTGCTTAAACACTGATAAAGAACTGCGTGGTTGAAAACTGTTTATTTTGGAGCCCTTTTATTTTCCTTGAAGATTATGCTGCTCTCAGGCATGTAGTGCTTTCTTTCATTTTCTGAATTCACAAGAAAGGACTGGTGATAACCTGTTAGAACTGCTGTGCCTGTTTGTGCATAGGCTGAAGACAGCGATTTGTCAGAGTCTTCGGGCAGTGTGGAAGAGGTGGTGACAAAGATCGTGCGGGTGTTTGTGGATGCCTTGCCCCATGTGCCGGAGCACCGACGCCTGCCGATCCTGGCCCAGCTGATCACTACGGTGGGAGGAGATAAGTTCCTCTGGGTTCTCCTGGTGCTGCTGTTTGAGCAGTACGTGACCAAAACTGTGACTGCGACATCAAGCACAGACAAGGTTAGAAGACCAGCGGGGTCACCTTTTTCCTCGGGAGACTGATCTTTTTCTTTTTGTTCATGGTGCCTTTAAGAAGGTACAAGACAAGCCCCTAAGTTATGCTAAAATAAGTCAAGAGCTCTGAGCTGGTGCTACAGCAGAACCTGGTGGTGATGTCAACTACGATTTCTGTTGCGGGTACAATATTGTTTTGTCCTGCAGCCTGAACAATAAATGAGATCATATTGTACAGCAATCCTTGACCTGAAGCACTGCTAATCTCATTTTGAAGTGCTTCAATATTTTTTAAGTTGTTTTATTTTTCTTTAAGTGTGTTTGTGAAATACAATACTGGTCTTCCTGTGCAGACGAAGATAAACTCTATTATGTTTTTGTGTAGGCAGGCCCTCGGATTAGATGAAAGCATAGTTTATGTAGAAAACTAAAAGAATTATTAAAAGAACATCGGTGATGTTCTTTGCTGTAACAATTTAATCTCTTTTACACCCTCTGAAACTGTGCTTTCCAAGAGCTTCCTGCTCTTACCCTTGGTGTTAATCCTGGCCATATTCAGCTTACTGTGGCATTTTCATGAACTCACTGAGGAATTTTTGAGTCTTTTTATCATTATTAGTACTAGGTTTTTTAAATTATTGAAATAATTTTTTTTATTTTTTATTTCTAAACCATAAACAGGATGCTGTTCTGGAAGCAGACACTGAATTTTGGATTTCCATTTGTTGCGAATTTAATGTGCAATCTCAGTTCCAGAGCATGATGAAAATAATCCAGTACTTGACAGAGCTGCCAGAGAACAAAGAAGGTGAGCATTAAGCAGAGCCAGCAAATGCATGTAAACTTTCCTGTCTCAGCAGACGAGGGGTGTAATGGTCTTAAACTAAAAGAGGGTAGATTTAGACTAGATATAAGGAAGAAATTTTTTACGATGAGGGTGGTGAAACACTGGCCCAGGTTGCCCAGAGAGGTGGTAGAAGCCCCATCCCTGGAACTATTCAAGTTGAGGTTGGACGGGGCTCTGAGCAACCTGATCTAGTTGAAGATGTCCCTGCTTATTGAGGGGGGGTTGGACTAAATGACCTTTAACGGTCCCTTCCAACCCAGACTAATGTGTCATTCTATTACTCCTCTAGACAGAAGACTAAGGGGTACAGAATTAGTCTAATGATTTTTTTTCTTTTTTTAATGAAATGGCTAATATACATGATTACTTTTTTAAAAGTCTTTTAATTATAGATTAATTTGAGCACTTAGAATCATTAGTCCTCATTTTAGTTGAAATAAAAAGCTATTATTCATAGCAGACAAGATCACAGGGACTACCAGTTATTTCTGGTTTTTTCTTAAGGTTTCATTTCTTTTTACTATAATAGAGTGGAGCAATCATTAAACAGTATGTTTTAATACTTTTCCAGTCTGTTACTTCAAAGAGCATTAGGAAAGTGGGGGAGGGTTGTTCGTCTCTTTTTTAGTTAGGACTTGCCCTGTTTGTTGTTTGAATACATTTTTCTCAGCCAGGAAGGACCAGGTAATGATACTGAAAGCAGTTCTCCCAAATACATGACACACAGTGTATGTGGTCCTGCCTCAGAAGTCCTGTGTCTGTAGCCAGTGTATCATAGCTTTAGCACTAACAAAAAAGAAGTTTCGTCACACAAAAATGATTAGATGGAATGGCAGTGAAATAGCACTAGTTCTTTTCAGGTTGTTGAAATGAAAAATTTATCTCCTGTGGTGTTTCGGAGCAGCTTTTTGGAACTTTGACGTGATTTTGGATACTGCAGAATGACTATCCTTGATAGGTATCTGACTGTACTTTTACTTTGTTTCTGTAATCAAAAATCAAATGTCTTTTTTCTTCGCTGCAAATTCGTTTTGTGAATGTTTTCAACAGATGATCCTGGACCAAAAAAGTCAAGAACGTGCAAGACAAAGCTGAAAAATCAGGATGGGCAGCTCTTTAACGTGGAGTCTCACTCAGACAAACAACTTCGGCATTTCAAATTCTTGTCAGTCTCCTTCATGTCACAACTTTTATCATCTCAGAGTTTTGTGAAAAAGGTAATAATGGCAGATTGCTTTCAAACTGATCACATTGTGCCATACCATAATAGCTGAGGTTTAATTTGCTTTTTAATATGGCTTTATATTCAAAGGGGATGAAAGAATGCACTGCCCAGTCTATATTGGTGACACCTTTATTCACACAGTTTTGAAACCTCTCAATAATGTTAATTATTTTTTAATAAGACTTTTCGAGAGAGACTCCATTTGTGTGACTGATGAATAGGTAACAAAGTGAAATTCTAGTCCCAGTGGATTCCCACTGGCATTATGGAGTCTGGGATTTCACTCAGTGTCTGTATCCCAAGTTTGGTGTGGGATTCATACTGTTAACTCTGAAAAGACATAATAAATGTTACAAGTTTTAGGCTGCAGCTCTAGCTGGAAGTAGTTCCCAGTTTTTCAGCTGAACATCCACCAGCTTGAACTGTATTTGCGACTGCGACTGCATTGCTGAAGATTCTCAGATTTTCTTCTACAATGATGACTTAAATGCACATGTGGGGAACTCATAATTAATATGTCAATGGACATTTGATTCAGAAAAAAAAAATTGACCATACTGGGATATTAACTTAATGAGGGGACTTAGCATTTTCATTCTTCCTTTTTAAACCAGATAGTTGAATGTGAAGAAACAGAAGAGCTACAGAAG